GGAGATTGACGCTGAACTGAAAACGCGATTGAGTTTCCAGCATCGTTTCGGGGATTTCGCGTTTCGATTCCGAGGCTTTCCTTCGCACACACGTGACTTGACTACTTGAAAAATTAATTAAACGATTTTCGATTGTGTTGATTTTATATACGCGTGCTTTGTACTCATTTTTATAATTAATGTAAAATTCGATATATATTTTTTCACCGCAATCATTCGCGACTTTGTCTTTGATTTTATAATCAATTTTAAATTTAAAAATGTTTATAATAATTTTTCAATATTTCGCAATGTTTTTCATAATATTTTTGAATAAAAATCCATTTTCTTCGAAAGTTAAATTATATTGAAAATATTCAATCCCTCTCTCCGTTTGTGATTAATGACACGAAGCAGAGACATTTATTTTTATGCGGCATTACTAAACGCAAGGAAATATCGCCGCGCGAGACAGACTGGTTTTATTTTGATTCCGAAGGTCCCGAGATGGGGCCAGTCGCGTCCGGAACACGTCCTCCTAGACGACGGGTCCTCCGCCCAGGGATAGAAAAATCCACCCCTTTTTCAGGCGGTCGATACCAGGACGACCAACCTTACCACCACCTTTCCGTTCCGCTCCGTTGCGTTCCACCCCCGTCGCGCCTAGTCTTTTCTTCGTCGCACCCTTAGCTCTCCCGCTCGCACCCTCGCCTTCGGCGAAAAGTTTCCGCCGCTTTCTGCCGAGGTAGCGCCACGCTCGACGTCAAGAACCACCCTCTTTCACCCTCCACGCTCGCTCCTCCACGTATCATATACACATACGCCCGAACCACCTCTTTCTCCTTTTTTCGTCCGATGACTTTCTGCGTCGGTTCTATATCTCTTCTCTCGTTATTCTCGTGTTATTCGTTCAGATATCCCGTTCGATCTCGAAGGCATATGTGTGTATATACATACGCATGTGTGTGTATCGGAGATCGTATGTACACACATGTGTGTACGTAAGCGGATGAGAGTGCGCACATACGGGAGATACGTGCATTCGCCAGGATTGCAAACTAAACCGCACATGCACTGTTACCTGATGTACCGACGGCTAAGTAATCCTCGGACCATCGGCCAACTCCTTGACCCTCAAAGTGAAAAGCGCCGGCTTTTTCCTCTCTCTCTCTTTCTCTCTCTCTCTTTTCTCTTGTAACCCGTCCTATCTTTTAGTTCACAGTTCTCTCGTCTTCGCAATAATACGTCGAAGCGCGGTTCTGCACTTCGCTTTTTGCTCCTCCTCGTCGCGGCGAAAGAATTTCGCGAGATACCACCGCGTCGTCGGTGCTGCTAAAGTCCTTATTTTCAGTCTCTCACCGAGGCAGGCCCTTTCAGTCCAAGAGATTTGTTTGCTCTTCTGTACGATCAATTGACCAAACACTAAAGACAGTAATGGCGAGGCTTTGTTGCGCGCCTTCGCGGTTCTCGGCAGACCGACGTGGATTTCAAAACTCTCGAAGGGACGAATTATTTTATCCCTTTCGCGTTTTTTTTTGCACGTATTTTAAATATTACAATTATTTGCGTAAAAGATATGTGTGAATGGATTTAAAGCTGTTGCGCGCATACATTTTTTTTACTCAACGATATTATATATATATAAAATATCGCGATTTAAAAGCAGCGCATCTAAAGAGATCTCCGGATTCCGTGATCCTGATGGCGCAGGAATGAACGAACAAGGAAAGGAGGGGTTGGAGAGAAAGGAGACGCGCTAGAAAGAGAGAGAGAGAGCAGCAGCGTGTGCAGGTTCGTGATTCGAAGTAGGTGGGCCCCCAGGTAGCCAGGACAGATAACACCCGGAGATTACCGCGGACAGAGTCATTAGCAATGTCGGCTTCTGTGTCGGTCGAGATATTCTCTCACTTTCCTCTCCTGTCGTCCCTCTGCTCCTGCTCTCCCTTTTACTCCTCCGCCGTGCGGTTTTATCTGGCCGGTTAATTCACGCGGCGCGATATACACACCGAACCGCTTCAGATCCTACCACTTACTTTCCGTACATCCTTTCCGACCATCCCCTCTCTTATACTCTGCTCTCTGTCTTCTTTATTTTCTCTCCCTTGAACTAGATGCATCTCGCAACACTATATATATATAAATAACCACCTCTTCCCTTTCTTCTCTCGGAAACTCTATCCTTTTTTTTTTTACCTCTCCGTACATGTTGCATGAGTAACGTGCACCGCGAAAGACGCGCATTCGCCGCGCTCGAGCGAGCCCAGATTAGAGTCCGGAGAAATACTAATTGCTCCGATCGGCGTTCGCACATATTTTCCACGGCGCCAGAGGCGTGTCGAGGCCGAAGGTCCACGAGAAACGAGATAGGGACGAGGAGAGAGACCGCCGGGGCGACGCGCAAGGGATCGGAAGAGGGAGGGTGAGATGGGGACAGAGAGAAGAAAAAGAAAGGAAGCATTCGGCTTTGATAGGCTAATGACAAACGCCTAGATTGCCGGCTTATCACCCCGGCCAGCGCTAATTATTTCCCCTTTGTGCCATGCCGCGCATAATGGCGTCCGTTGCGAGAGCGGGTTCTCTCTCTTTCCATCTTACATGCGCCGTGCGATTTACACGCACGAGCGTGACGGCGAATTTTTTCCTCCCTTTTTGTTACCGCGAGAGCGCCGTGAATTTCTCGTCTTTTTACGAATCGGTTCTTCCACTCGCGACTCCACGCGCAGTGCTGAATCTTTGAATCGTCCCCGACGATTTCTATATTTTTTCCTGGACGCGAATTTTCATTTCACGAGAGATCAACGATAAACTAATATTTTTCGGGTATTTTTTTTCAATCTCTCCTTTTGCATTGCGATGTTATTCATACACGTATATTAATTTGTGCGTTTTTTCTGCGGAACTTTCCCTTTGGTTCTGGAAGAGATCCTAGAGATCGTCGACGGTATTTTCGAGGGAGAGACGTGTACATTTTGCATTTCATTAATGTAAAAATTTTAAGACTTCCGCGGATAATCCTTGACATGTCTGACTTGGTGTTTCTTTAGATAGTTAGTCAACTAAACCGGTATTAATATTTCAATGACATTACACGCGCAATGTGTCAGCAAAACTTGCATTGTAGTTTTATATTAACTTTTAGGAAAATAGAATAATCTCTTACGAAACTCGAACTTTAACTTTACAAACTTGGAAAATATATACCGATTCTTCTAGGCTCTTAGGATTCAACCGCATTTCAAGAAAATACCACGAACTCTCGCGAGAATGAACAAACGATGCCACACATTGAAATTAATCTCGCTTCCTCCTCGATTATATATATACGACGATATGCAGTCACGATATACGGGGTGATAAGTTTCGCGGTATCGACATGTTTTATTTGGCGAAATGTCAGTGAGGGACTGCGGATTCCATTGAATTAATAAAGGGAATTCGATTGAGAGCCCCCCAGAGAGAGAGAGAGAGTGACCGATATCCCAGAACTATACGGTCGGCCATGTTTCGGAGCATACCTATCGATCACTATATGTATGTGCGTCGATAACCGCGTTATATATAAATTATGCCAACAATCGAGTCTTCGTTCCGCGAAAGCGACCGGAAGTGTCAGTCCGCGACGCGGATCCGAGAAACCGCGTCTTCGTGCGGAGACGCGACTTCCGGTGATATCGATCGTCGTCCCTATATATGTATTTTCGCAAACGCCCCCGGTAATTCGCTCGTTACCGCTCATGTATTAATCTCTCTCTCTCTCTCTCTCTCTCTCTCTCTCTCTCTCTCTCTCTCTCCCTCTTTACGCGTGCGACGAACGCGTGCGCGCGCGCGGCCTACCCTTGTCGTTTTGCGTGCCGGAATATTCTGAACAGTCAGGTCCTTCGGCTCGTAATATAAAAGCAACGCGCGCGTGCTCCGGCAAATTTGCTCGGACACGACGCGAGCCTCTCTCTCGCGCGCGTGCATTTATTACATCGCGTCCGTTTAACAAGATCGATGGGCTACCGCTCCGGATAACGCGAGCTTTAATCGCGAGACCCAAGGGGTCGATAAATTATCGTAATCCGGGGTAGGGGAGGTGGAAGTTGATTTATTTCGATAATTTGACAAATTTGTATTTTGCCGATAATTTCGCGCCCAAGCGCGGCGAGTTAAATCGCGTTATTATAAGTTAGGTAAATATATACGTTCCATTTTATCATAGTCGTTTCTGTCCATTAGCATATCATTCACACAGAGAGCGCCGATAAAGAGAGAATGTCTTCGACAAATAATTACGTTTCCAATGCAAATATGTAACCCGCAATATCGTCATCGTCGGCGGCGATGAAATCGCGGGAAGCTCGCTCGATTGCGTTTTGCAGACTTTGTATCGATCAGCCCTCGCGGCATGATGCATCATCGTAATAGCCGCTTTGCCAACCTCGTTCCTTTCTTGGCTCCCGCACGGAACTTTACGAAATACTTGCACGAAGATTAATTAACGAGGAGGGAGAGAGCGAAAGAGTAACATACCGGCGCACGCTCTCTGATTGTATGATTAACGGCGACACCTTCTTGACACTTTTTTAATCTGACGTATCTCTCTATATTTTTCTCCTCGCGCGATATCGCTCTCTCGTGTCTCGTGCCGCTTTTGTTTTCTTAATTTTGCGCCATGCTGTAGATCTCAAACCACGCTCGCAACGGTTAATCACGAGAATTCTAAGCTCCGTGACTTACGTTAATTGGGGAACGCTTCGAATATCGTTTATAAAAACGAGATCTATTTTCTACAAAGTCTAAAGATATTCGAAAAAGTTTAAAACACTTTAAAACGAACTTTTAAAAAGAATATATATATTGTATAGGTCTTCTTAATTTAAGGCTTGATGAAGAGAGGAAGGAGATTTTTGTGATGTATTAGAATCGCGTCGAACACAGTTGGTCTGAAACGATGAATAAAGCGAATTAATTGCAAACGTTCTTTCTCAAACTTAATATAAAACAATCTGTCCCAATGTATGCTCCCTTCCTTATTACAGACGATACTGAACTCGATGCACAAGTATCAGCCGAGGTTTCACCTCGTGCGAGCCAATGACATCCTGAAACTTCCGTATTCGACGTTCAGGAGTTACGTTTTCAAGGAGACGGAATTCATCGCCGTGACGGCCTATCAAAATGAGAAGGTAAGCGATCGGATTTTCTTCTATACGAAAAGAAAGAAACCTTTGTTAGACTAATTTCAGAATATAATCTCTCGAAAAGTTGCGAAAAAATCCAATTTCTATCTTATGAAGTAAATTCGGAGAAAATTAGATTTTATCATTATATTTCTTTTATCTTGAAAATTTTCATAAAGATATAACCCCCTTTGATTAAGAGTTTGTCACCTTATTGTAGAGGAAATAGTAAAACTCTCACACGCACGGCGAGAATTCATCGGGGAGAAATAATCTCGCGTTACGATCTGAACGGGTAGGCCTGTTTTAAGGGTTTTTTTTAGCCTTCCTTCGTTAATTAATAATTTCCCTACATTCTGGTCTCGATAAAGCCGCGGACGCGAGGACCGTTTCGTGGAATAACGAGTCTTCTCGGTACGCATTATTTTCGGTATAGTGAATGAGTCGCTCACACGCACGCACGTGGCCGTAAGAAGAGACCGAGCCGTTGTACAGAGATTTTTAAGTCGTTTATATACACCGGCTATATACTACTATCTTAATTATCGCGCCTTCTCGGTATGTCGGCCGAATACAAAACAAAGCGAGAAAGAATATTATAGCGAGAGTCTTGTACAGGCCTATACCGCGCGAATGTAAATAATTAACGAGACATCTTTTATTTTAAAATATTTTTTTTTTTTCTAAAATAACTTGCATATATTAAAATTTTTATGTGTTTTATTTTAGATCACCCAGCTGAAGATCGATAATAACCCTTTCGCAAAAGGATTTCGGGATACTGGCGCGGGAAAGCGCGAGAAAAAGTGAGTATCGCTTTCAAAACTGCATTTTTAAGCATGCTATGTTTTTTTTAACCCTTTCCTGAAATTAAAAAATAAAGCGCGAATCTATACCAAATAGATATACACATTTTTTATTTATATCTCTATACATAATAATAATCAGGAAAGAGTTAAAAAAAAAGAATCAAAGTAGAACTTAAGCGTCTTCCATCGATTATACTGTGAGAAGACGAATTAAAAAAGACTACTAAATGCAAAGCGAGAGACACGAGGTCTTCTCTTCGAATCGCGCTTCGTGAAGAGTGTAAAGAGCGCGAATCTGTCTTCGGGGTCGACCTAATTGATCGTAGACCTTTCGAGCTTCCCCTCGATCGGGAGCTATTATGCCGACCTTAGGGTCACCCCCGGAGCTAAGGGTTGGTTTCACAGGGCTCATTTGCACTCCGCATCACCGGCAGTGCCGTCCATTTGTATTCAATATTGCGGGTTTATGAGCTTATGTCAGCGAGCGAACTCCCCTTCGGGATACTGGCCCGTTGCCGTGGACCAGGCCGCTATGGAAACCCATTTGGAAACTCATTGATCGCGGGGTGAAAAGTGAATTTTGATGAAGTTAAGTTTCGCTATGCATAACAATTTAAGCTGTTCCTAATTCTTGTTACATTGTCATGATCGGGAAAAATTTAGGCGCAAAAGAATAAAAAAGAACAAGATAGGCAATAAGAGCCAAATCGCGGATGACAGTGCGTTATTTATTTATATTACAGAGCCTTGTTAAACTCTTAATAAAAAAGGGGCTCAAAAATATTCCGTACAAGATGACGAGACTATCGTCGCGGGAAGCGTCTGCATTTACGGTTACGCGAAAAGGAAGAGAAAAAAAAAAGTTTGGTGCAAGCCTGGGATCAGAAAATTTTCGGAAAATTGTGGTCTGCGACGTCGAGCGGATAAAGAAAGGGCGAGGTTAATCGAGAAAATATGCAAAGCAGGGGGGACGCGTCGCCGGGGCACCGCCTAATTAGAATAAGGGTTAGTTTTGGCTTATGGTTTCGGTTAAGGGTGGTTGGATGCCATCAGGAAGCCGCAGGGAAACTAGAGAGAGGGAAAGAGAAGGCACGTCGGGGAGACACACCGTTAGAAAAAGACGGAGAGACGTATCGCGAGAGAAAGAGAGTGGCACAGTGAGAAGAGGGATCGGGGTTGGAACATAGCCAATCATCGGATTAGCATACTGATGCTCAGGGGCGGCGCTGTCGTTAACGTTTGGAGGGTGCCACTCTTGGCGGCTTTGAATTTTATATTGGCCCTATAGAGAGATCGTTTTGCGGCTGCACAAAGACTGCGCTTTCGAGAGCGATTCTCGTATACGAAATCGCTTTTCTCGCTTCGCGCGAGGATGTCTCGAGATGCATTTTTTACGCGCTACACACCCCTTCGATCGTATCATAGACTTCCTTCCGTATAACGTATACCGACGCCATTAACAGCCGATGTTGAAAGAAACGAGAAGGGTAGAGTTAGAGAATAAATAAGAAAAAATAGAGGCGATAAAAGTGACCGCAAATGTGTAGCGAAGCCAATCTCGTCGGGAACGAGAGAGTCTCGCGCGATATAATTGTGGACGATCACTTATATAATTCAAGATACGTAACCGCGCGATTGTACTCTCGGTGGAAATCGAGCTGCAGCTCGACGCGATAGCGTTAAACGGCACTGACAGCCGGTGCATTGTTTCGTTAATTTTTTAACAACGCGCGACGCGGCGTTTCGTCACGAGATGTAACGCCACTCGAGCGTGACGAGTTGATTCGCTACAGCGCTTAAAAAAAAGTCGGGGCAGCGAAAAAAAAAAAAAAAAAAAAGAAATGAAAGTACGCCGCGCCGGTGCGGCGAATTGTCACGTCATTTATCATCATACACCGCGGAAAGATCGTATTGCGATACGCGGCGAATTAACCCGTTCGCTTGTGAAACTCTCGCACTATGTGCCGCGTTTAATATATACGTATATACATATACATAACAACGCAAACGATGCATTTTCTAGCGATGTATGCATTTAGCGCAGGTGTCAAATTAATAACCGTGACACTGACCATCGTCTCCGGGATTAATTTACACATTCGATATTTACACATTCGACTACCGCATATGTACACAGTTTCTGATTAATGAGCGGATCGAGAAATCTATCGGATAGTAGGTACCTATATAGTGAGTTTTAACTTTTGCAGTTAATTATATTATCCGCAGAACGAAAATCGTTGGGATTCCTGCGAGTTTCTCCGCATGCAACAAAGCATTCCTTCAAGGTATAATTACTAGCCGGATTAGCCTCCGGCTTTACCTTCAATTTTCGTTGAAAAATATCAGTCTTGCCTCGTTGAATAATATCGAAAAAATTAGCGGTCGGAAATAACATGTGCGGGTAACGACATTTTAAATATCTCCAGCAGCATAGCAATGCCAACAACATTGATATTTCTTCCTACAAGTAAGTCTTTGCAATTTCCATTTTCGTTATTCGCAAAAAATATCCCCGTCTGACGGATCGTTAAAAAATAAAAACATTACGACGATATTATGTAATCGCAAAGAGATACTTTGACAGATAGAGTAGGGGAACACACAGTCTCTAACCTCTCTCCGAAATAAAAATTATTTTTCTTGTATATGACGGTACGTCGCGAACAAACGTCGTCTCTCAAATCGCGCCATAATCGAAATTCGGCAACCTAATCCAGAATTAATTGGCGCGCACGGGAATCCTTTCGAGCGAGCTCGCGAACAAAATTTTCTGGAACGTTTCTAATCACGCGAAGGAAACTCGATGGTACGTCGACAATCGAGTCGAATGACGGGTCGAGGGGGAATAGGGCAAATCTAATGCATCGTCTCGTGCAGGCAGAACAAACCTAAGCCTCGTGTAAGTCCCGGCTATAGCCGTTCGTTCGCACAACGAGAAGCTTACCGGTACCTTAATGCCATGTAATGCGATCAGTTCGCACATCCACATATACACGCACACCCATATATGTATACATATATGCAGACAGAGAGCGACGCGCGCTTTCGCTCGCCCGAGGTGTATCCGCGCGCGCTCCTCACTCGGATGCATCCATGACATGCACTCGTTGCAGCAACGAAAGGGGTTGCGCTCAGGCTCTCTGGTTTCTGTACTACGTAAGTTTGAGAGCGCGCCGAATCAATAGTTCGCCGCCGGTATGGGATTCTCGAATAAATACGCGGTCTCCCTCTTCCGTCCCTGCGGTCTCTCTCCGAGAGAGACGTGCATTTTTATTTGCACTCGCCGATCGAAGTCGTTGCTTAGCGCTAATCACGGCTGATTACACTGTTGAACAAAAAATGACTTTTTCGAACACCGGACCGAGACTAATCGTTTCTTTTAGTTTTTTGGATGCTGAATGCGAATCCGGTTGCTCCACACGCGTCACAATTTTGAGAATTTTTAATTAAATGCAAAATAATTATAATTACAATATGTGACCTCTGCTAGAGAAGTTTTATTGAAATCAAAATCATCTTAGTTAACCATGGATATCTTATTGACCATAACCGACGTTAAAAGTTCCTTTTGAGAGTTGAAAGTCCTAACAATATACTTTATTTTGATCGCAATAAAACTTCTCTAGCACGTCACATGTTGCAGATATAATATAACAAGGTTCGTGAAAAAAGCTCTTTTTTGCAACTCAAAAAAATTCTCAAAATCGTGACGTGATGGAATAATCTGGAAAGCATGCAGATTCGTATTCAGCATCCAAAAAACTAGAAACGACTAGCCTCGTTCTGATTAATTAATTTTGTCGAACAGTGTTATTACTTTTTTTTTCTACTTGCGTTTCGGATCGTATAAAGTCTGAAAGACGTGTGTAAGGATTCGCATATGTTAATGTAGATTAATTAAAAACGATTAAAGCCGCTAGGTTCCTCTGCCCATATAACGCAGTTCGATAAATCACGTTGCGATATACGCGAGTCTTTGCGTAGATCGGGCGATAGAAACACGCTGCCCCGAGGAAATCGCGGATAGATGATCGGTGAATCGATGATACGGCGTATCTCGCGCTCGGTATCGCCGCGACATCGTGAAAAATGATCATGACTGTCGAGATGCAGGCGGCTGAAGATGTCAGCGCGATAAATCAGCGGTCGATTCCTCTTAGTTCCTCGCGATTCGCGGAAAAAAGTTCTTTGCGTCGTACCGCGACGCCGGAGAGCGATATAAAATAGTGCGCGTAGCGCGTATATCTCGAGTGTTCCATCGCCGTTTCTATAGTTCATGAGAGCTTATACATATATATATATATATATATATATATATATATATATATATAACACGAATGCGAATATGCGCCACACTCTCGTCCGTCTAGTTATAAGTGCAAATAGCCGCGAGTGGCGTAAAGTTAAGCGGGCACGTGAAGGCAACGCACGCGCGAGCGAACGAGAGAGCTCGGCAGTAGACGCTTGGCGCGCGCATAGGAAAGGCGTTGAAGGCGCAATTAAGATAATTAATCTAATACCACGGCCGCGCCTCGGGGCGATACAGCTACCGCATAAATCCCGGGGCCTCGTTTATTGCATCGCTCGCCGCCGCGCCACGCCGACCAGTGCCTCCAGTGCGTGAATTATCGCCACGGAGACGAGAGAGCGAGCTGTCTCTCTTATATACGTCTTGGAACCTTTTCAGATTTTCTCTTCGACACACAATACCCCTCTGTCTCGATTGCGCGCTCGTTTCTCTCTCGAACGCGATATTTTATTCGCAGTAGAAAAATATACCGATGTAGTTTCTTTTTTTTTTTTTTTAAGTCATGCGTAATCGAGAGATATTTACAAAAATTTCACATTTTAAATAATCTATACAGAAAATTTTCTCTTAGAATTTATTTTGAAAATCATGGTGTTCGTGGGACAATATGGTATTGGAAGAATTTTATAAGAGGTTCTCTGATATAAATATTTATATATCGCAATAAAAAATATTAATAAGATATAAAATATGTTTGATTTATTTTATTAAAATATATAGTTACGGTAAATATATATAGTAAATATATTGTTTTACGATTATCATGATTTTCAGGATAAATTTTAAGAGAAAATTATCTCTGTGTACCCAAATCGTGTTCATTTTTAGCAAAACTTGTCAAAGACTTTAGAGTTGCTCTGTCGCTTTGTTTCTTGTTGCAAATTAAAAATTATAACATTGCAATAATTTTAACATGTTATATATTCTAAGTTGATCAATTAGGGTGCATGCAACAAAAATATATATTACCTCGAATATTATTACGTAAAATATAGATTGCAATCGTTGAACACGACGGTTTGCAACATTTCGCATGAATGTATTTTCTTGCCATATATTGTTTATTACATACACGTATTTTTGATTGAGACATACGGCATGTTAACAAAACCGCAACGAAATTGCGAACAATTTTCGAAATTGCTGCTGCCAAGGAAGGAGGTAACTTTATCACCCGCTCTCTCAAAACCAATTATAGTGTGCCGTAATCAGTGGGCCATTCGCATCTCAAAGGAGATTGTCAGCTTAGGAACATCGATAAATCGTATCGAAATAGGCGGGACCCATTTTACCCGGCAGCTCTATAATTTTTCAACGATTGATAACTTTGACTAACCACGCCTTTCCATAAATCAAGAATCAATCTGTAAATATATAAAGCATTATTGTTTCTCTATAATCGCGGCGATGATGAATTTGTTTGTCAAATTAGCTCACAATTTACTTTTTGCGAGATAAAATCAGCGTCATGTAATTTCATTAATTTTTTTAGTAGTATGAAATAAATTTTTAGTTTAATTTTGCTCGAATTAATCTATAGAGAATATATTAAGAGCGCTGTCGCGCTTAGATGATTTTAAAAGTAGCTAGATAAAAATGAGATAAAAATATGTAAATTTATGTTACAATTAGATAAGATGAAGATGATTTTGTTTTAAATAAATCTAGATAAAAGATAAAATTATGTGGCAACTCATCTAGATAATTTCTAGGTAATGCTATTTTTAAGACCGCTTATGGAAAAAATATAAATGATAAAAGGGATACAAAAATATATTCGTATTTTAAACATATATATTTTAACTTTAAACCAAGTTATCTGGTCATTACTCTAGATAATTTACTAAAGATATACCTACTCCTTCATCTTTTTATTATATCTCTATAGAGATATAATAAATCTCTAATATTATATAATAAATATCTTTTTATTATATCTCTATAGAGATATTATATCTCTATAGAGATGAGACGGCCTAAAAAAATGTCATCTAGATGATCGTCTATATAATTTGATTGAGATAATAGCAAACGCAGATTAAGAATGAACCTTCCAAGATTGCTAACTCGGCGTCGTTGTTGCAGAAGGCAGGCGCTACTGACAGTATCGGGCGGCGGTTCCCGTTTGACAGCTGGCGGCCCAGCGTCGCCGGACAAGAGACGCTCGTCCAACTCCGCCACCGATCTCATGGACGACGAAGACAAACTGCTGGACGTGGTCGGGCCCGACACGCCACATCCGGCCCACCATCATCGGGAACGGGAGCACTCCCGCGAGAGGGACGACCGGACGAGCGAGCGAGGCGAGGGCAGCGAGTCGTCCGGGTCCGAGAGCGGTGGCGGACCGGGTCCGACCGGGTCCGAGGGTCCACGACCGGACGTTTCCGTCGGCCCGCCACTTCATCCGCCGCTCCTGCCGTATCTGTATCCGCCGGTTCCCGGACTCTACCCTGGTCCCGGTCCCCTGATACCACCCTCGCCTCTCGGTCTTCACGGCGGGGTCACTCCCGGTATGCTGTTCAATGCCCAGCTGGCCCTGGCGGCCCAGCATCCGGCTCTCTTCGCGCACTATCCGCATCCCTTGGCGAGTCCCTTGCATCAGCTGAAAGGTCACAGATTCGCGCCTTACACTCTTCCGGCGCCTTCGCACGGCTCCGCTTTTGAGACCGTGACACCCGGCAGCAGGACCCTGAGTCCAAGATCGCCACCGCCCAGGCCGCCAACTGATTCCCCGACGCCGACCGGCGGCGCTCTGACTTCGACGACGCCTAGCTCGGCCGGTGAGCTCAAGTCGATCGAGAACATGGTGAACGGGTTGCAGGAAAAGAGACGGAGAAGTCCTAGTTTGACGCCCGGACATCGGGGCGACGACGCCGGCGGAGGGAGTCCGTGACAGGAGAACGAACCTGTGAGCAGCACGAAGGACGACGATCCCAACGAGGACTGCGCCGACGAGTCCGGCGGCGACCCGGAGGACCTCTCCGCCGACGAGAGGGAGCCGGACTCCACGTCGGAGCCGTCGTAGCGGTAGGAACGTCGGGTGCTCGATTCTCACTACCTCTCCTTCCTTGTCCTACTCGGGAATCTTGGTCGCGCCCGATCGTTCGCCAGGATTCTCCCTGGACGTGCCGGAGGGGAACGAGGATGGCCGGACTCTCATACTATAAAGTGCAATTTTATTTCCGGAGCAGCGTCGCGCTCGAGAAGTCGTGCTCGCGAGCGAAAATGACGCTCTTCGTGCTTTCGGGACAGGACAAGGAGTCCTTCGCGTGTTTCCTGTATCTGTAAATAGACCTCTGTGCGCGATTCGCGCGTGCGTTTAGGAGTATATCTCTGTTGAAAAGACCGCGTGGTCGGGGTACGGTAGACTCTCGACGGACGTAATGCTCTGCGCCTATCGCGCGTTAATGTAAATTTCAACGAGACGCAAGGGTGAATGCGATAGGAACGAAAATGAATGCGGGAGAGAAAGAGAGAGAGAGAGAGAGAGAGAGAGAGAGAGAGAGTCTACGAGCGCGTACCTGTATCTCGTGTGAGTCTACGTTCTACCTGTGTACGTTAGGTCTTAAGGGGGAAAGAAAAACAGAGAACGATATTGCAATATAAGAGCACCTCCTACTATTTGCAGTCCCTGTACATATGTACCCTAGTGATATTATATATTATATATTATATATATATATATATATATAAATATTATATATAAATATAAATAACATCTAAACTCTCTGTACTAATTATTATATAAATATATTATATTATAACGATATTAGGAGACGCGTAAATGCATAAAACACGCACGCTGCCCGATTTACGTCTATACGAAAACACACAAAAAGAAACGAAAAAATCCTAAATTCGAAGAATCTCGGGGCCGAGTTTGCAAAAAGGCGTAAAAACCACAAATTCCACCGCAGTTTCCATGCAACTTCCGAATCCTCTCGATTTCTCGAAATTTCACGCCGTCATCGTGTGTGGAGATTCGCGTCCGTTAAGATTACACAAGAGGTAAAATCGTCGATCGAAACGATGCGATGGCGAGTGGTTTTTTCGTTCGTTTATTCGAACAATAATCGTTTCCGACGAGGTGCGTGCTTTTTTTATAACTCACAAGAAGAAAGCTTCTCATCAACGTGCTGTCGATCATCTTTCTCGCGATTTTACGGATGATCTCTTTCGACCTTTTACCGGTAGATTGGAGTAGATCGGGCTTGTGATCGTCGCCTACAATGTCTTTCTCTCTATTTCAATTATAGAAATTATTTGTCAAAATTTCTGTTATGTTACCGTCAAAAAGACGCTGTGGGGCTGTTTTTTTATTTTAAAGTTTTCTTTTTAAAATAAATTAAAAAAAAAATGAGATTTTACAGTAGTTGCTCATTACTCGACCGTGGATTTGACGAAGGGCCCGGAATCACTCCGCGCCGACCAAAAGTCCGATCCAGTCTGCGATTTGTATAAATAGTAGCGATCGGTGTAGATAATTATTAATATCTAATAGAACGTCGAGTAATTTACAATCAACTCGCGCGCGAATCAGTTTTAGCAGAGAGAACGTCATCCGCGAATGCTACGTAACACTATAGAAATGGTCTGTAACGAGAAAAACGTGACATCCGGGATGGAAGATAACGGTTGAATTAAGGCGAAATCGCGCGATGTCTGCGGGAACGCGACGATCTAAAAAAAAATTTTTTTTCAATTTTCTTTTAAGATGTCCGCGAAACTGGATTCCCGCGATGTGATCCGAGAACGAGGAGACCGTTATCATTTGCGACAACGCGAATGCAGCGCACGTCCGAAACGGAGCTGCAACGACAATCAAAAGATCGACTCGATACTACTCGCGGTGCATCTTCGCGTTCACGTCGATCATTCCGTTGCGCAATCGATGATTGGCCTCCCCATTCGTATTCGTAAAATCGCTCTGTCGTAATTCGACTAATCGCTATCACGTCGCGTTTGCGATCCTGCAATAGTGTCGAGGGATATCGTAAAATGGGAAAGACACGAGTGGATCTTCTAAGTCGAACTCTCTCGTTTCAGCATAATTTATTGCCATTATGCAGTGACAGCGAAAGGTAAGTCAATAGCGATTGGATGAAGTGAATCAGTTGCTCGATGTTTTTAATACAACACTTAAGTTGTGTGATATATTGATATATACAGAAATATAAAAATTATTTTAAGTTTTTAATGATAAATAATAAATATTTATCGAACTGTAATATTTCAAAATTTTTATCTCTAGAGTAAGTATTAATTAAATAATGGCCATTTTTAATCCAATTAATATGCTTGATCTATGTACAATCACAAATAGAATATAATGCATTAATTAGAAATTTTTGATGTCCGAATACGTTAATTAAAACGAGAGTTATCATCTATCGACTTTTGGGAGTTCTGATCAGTTTTGTTTCATTTTACGATACCCGTTAAAGGTAAGCATCATCGTTGTAATATATATGCCTGTATATCCGAATCTATTACAGAGAAGCGAAATGTTCTGAAAGCAATAAATCGAACAGAGTCGCGAATGCATCTATCATAGGTGAAATTAATAATCGGTTGTTTTAATGGAATACCGCGGTCGTTAAAACTTTCATGAGCAAAAATCACTATCGGTAAACACTTTGGCCCAGAGGAAAAAAAATCTCGAAGGAAGATTTTTTTCGAGCGATTCGAAATGAACAGTTTGGAAATTGGGAGTTTGAGGCTCGCGATTGATCGTTCACCAAGTTTTAAACAGAAATTAGGAATCTATTCAGAAGTAAAGACGAAACGAAAGATTTTCTATAAATATTTATAATTATTCGCGATCATTTATTAATTACTGGCTTATGCAGAACTCTCTCTTTTGATTTGCTTTAGGTTTGCGTATATTGATTTTTAATGAACTTTATTCAAGTAATGTCTGGCGAACGTTGTACATACTTGTACTATCTCAACCTGTTTATATTCAGCGCTAAATATGATTTTTTCGGATTTTAAATTTTATTTATAAAACAATGGTAAAAAACAGTCAATATGAGATGTGAATCGAGTGAAACGAGAATTGCCTGCACATTTAGCGCTAAATATACAGCGCGACAGCGAGTTCCAGTGCAAAAACGGAAAAAAAAAGAAGTTATCGATATGTACAGATATGCAATTGAACAGGCAAGTGGATGAAAAAGGCTTGTCACATTCTTACACATGCTAAGTTATTTGTATGGATGAATGTTACTCCTTATTGTATTATATACGTAATCAATACGTAAATATGTATTATCAATTTAGTGCTGTGATGGTTCTTAGCGAAGATAGCCTGTGGATGAAGAATTTCATTGTACAATATTAAGTCACATATTAACGCGATCTGATAATTGATTTGAAACGCTAAAGCCTTTGTATAATCTCGAAGCGTTTATTATTATATCGAAACATTTTCTTCGTCCATCCGCTCCTTCAATTAACGATTCGATTATGTATTCGACATGAAGTTCGTTGTCCATTGGAATTTTAAATTGACTGCTACGATCAAAGACTCCTCGCCCGAATAAGAATCGCGTCTCAGTTCCCTCGAAACTTCGGGAATTTGCTCAACCCTCGCATATATTTTTCGTGGCTTCCTTCGGGTCGTGCGCTCGGAGCGATGCGAGCCTTCATTGTCGACGAGAAAAGAACAGGAAAAGCAATAAAAAAAACAGAAACATGGAAAAAAGAAACAAGAACAGGCGGCTCAGACGTAGCCGCGCGCGTCAAAAGTGGATCCTACTTCCTGACACGAGAATCGTGATATTCCGTGGCTTGTATTGTATATTGTACACTCTCCTTAGACCTTCTCTCTGTTCCTCGCTCCGTTTCCCGACCTTGTCCCGTCATCAAAGTCCCTCCGAAAAATCCACACGTGATTATAAGAATTATATATATATATATTAATTTAAAAATACAACGACATTGTGTGCTCTCATTTTTCATAGTCCACCAAATACGGCGTGCAAAATTGCAGAATATCAAAACTGTCGCGTTCGCGAAGCATACGATCGAAATATAAATCTTCCTGGCATGAAAAAATTCGATAGGCAATATTGGCGCCTGTGATTACTGATGAATAAATAAATTTAACGCGCGATGAGTTTACCGTTGCGCAGTTGTATCGCGCGTCCGAATATCTGTGCGAAATATATATATATATATATATAGTCGCAATATTATTTCTTAACGTCGGTCGAATAGATACGTCAAAGCGAACAGATTAGCAATGCGTTTAGTAATTTCCGCGTATATACGGTTTTCTTTCGCATTCCGCATTAAACGCCAGCTGCGAGCTTCTATCGAGTTAAATACGTCGTAATTAATTTTTAATATTTTTTTCTGTTTCAATAATCTTACGTAACATTAATGGCGGGTAAGTTTTAAGTCGAGAAAAATAATTTCGCTCTATCGCAACACGAAATCGATCACTGTGCTCGATGCTAGAGTGAATGATAATGATTACCAGATATCGAACAGATATTAAACGCGGTTCGTTTGCGAATATAACCAATCGACGTGATTTTATAACGAAGAAACTTTTGATTTCGCCGCTTCTTTAATGAAAGAAACCGTTTCTTTTTTGCCAGAAGATAACCGCGCAAGAACGCGCAACGGTGGCGCAGGAATTTTAATCTTTCGGCCGATCGGCCGGGGCGATTGTAATAATTACGGTTTGCTGGTGTGAAGATGCAAGGATCCGCTCTTTCCTGATCGCAAAATAAAGTAATGCAGACATGTGAGGAGCAGCGAACGTATTGGAATTAATGAAGCATTAAGGAAGCACATATAAAACTTTTTTAACCAGATTTGATATTTGTATATAGGTACATAAAAAAAAAATATATATATATATATATATATATATGTATATATATGTAAAATGTTATATATACATATATACGTGTTTTAAACTAATATATATATAAATTCACACATGTTGTGTCTATACATAAATGCTTATAAAAATTTGCAAAAATTTTACACAATATTTTAATTTAAAAAATTCTGTGATATTTGAAAAAAATTATCGCTTACGCACTCGCGGCAACGTGTTGCACGAAAACATCGTATTCCAGGAACGGTGCAAATTGATGAGATAAAGGAGTAATTAACGATATGCGTGCGCCTTTTTTTTTAAATGAAGAGTATACCTTCGATGAATTCGCATTTCCGTCGTGCCGTGGTGCCGAGGTGAATTCTCTGATGATTACGTAGATAAAAAGCTAATGAATACGGCCTCGTTTGAAGCAAGCAGACTAACGATTTCTCGCAGCGAGACAATTAGGGGTATTACATAGCTAATTAGACGGTTGTGCATAAGTTTCGCCACGTCGTAACTCAAACTGTTGTCGCTTTCGTGTCATTATACTCGTACATCATTCAATGTAATTTTCCGCGCAACAACTTTTATATTCGAATACTTGTAATATATTTTACAGCAGCGTAACTGCCGCGACTGTCAAATGGAAATAAAAGGATACAGAGTATCCTCTGTCAGTAGCAGAATAAAACATGGGGAAAAAATTTCATTGTTCCTAATTTGATTATTTCTTTTTTTTATAGAATACACACAGAATAGTCTTGAAACTTTGAACATTTGTTATAGCTTTTGTGAATGCGGTTTACCTCCTTCTCTTCAGATAATTTTTACGTAATATACAAAT